CGATCCAAGGTGTCCCGATTACCCAACTACGTATAACACGCAATACTTCATATCCCCCGGCTTTGTCGTTGTCACTACCAACTTCCCTCCCTTCCATCTTCTCCTCCCGTATCACCAGCTCACGGTGGTATCGTGGAATTCCATCGCCCTGTATTGGCCCCTCACGCCGTGCAGAAACTGCAGACGACTCAACCACCACCGAACCCCGGGAACTACGGAGCCTAACCATAACACGCAGCGACAGACACCACGTATCTGCACCCGAAGGTCCGACTCATAGGAATCGCAACCCTCGTGAACGGGCCTCTCCCGAACCGCCGTCATCAAAATAGATGGATCGGAAGGCCCTTGATGCCCCGCGCATGCCATTTGCCTTATGACTACACGACGTCAACCGCCATCAGACCGGAAGCAACCCGCCCCTTAGCCCTATTGCACTTATGCCCCTGAACCCTGGCCACAGCAGATCTCAGTTCTGACCTGGCACTCCACCCCCACTTTCCCCTAAAATCCTTGGCACACCCCCTTCTCGCACTTCCAGGCCCACATCCCACTCCGATCTGGAAGTCGCGCCGGGCGTGAGGTTGGTATCGGAGACCGACACGTGGCAGGGTTCTTGGACTCATAGCTGGGCGATCTAGCTAACAGGGGACGACCTCGACCCCGGAACACGCATCGCCGCGATCCCGTCGTCACCAGAAGCCGGTCTGGGGCCCGACGGGCGGTCAACATGAACGCTAATCAATAGAACCCCCAACAGAACCCGAATATCCAACAAAATCCTAATCAACCCGTACCACGAGCCCGGGCATCCATGACGCCACCCGATCTCTATCTGTTCGATCCCGCTCATCACCTTGCTGGAGCATGGCTGGCCACGCTCCGAGCTCAAATAGCCATTTCGTCAAAACGGACATATTATATGTTTTGAGCGAAATAAAAACTGACTTTTTTGCCAAAATCCGGTCGGAAATTTTTGCTCCTGGGGTCCGGCGTTCCCAAAACGTCGGACCCCCTTCATGTATCTGGTCTATGGTTGAGACCAGATCCCAAAAAAAAAAAAAAAAAAAAAACAAAACCTTTTTTTATTTATTTTTATTTTTTATCTGGTCTCAACCATTGACCAGATACATGTAGGGGGTCCGACGTTTTGGGAACGCCGGACCCCCAGGAGCAAAAATTTCCGACCGGATTTTGGCAAAAAAAGTCAGTTTTGATTTCGTTCAAAAAATATAATATGTCCGTTTTGACGAAATGGCTGTTCTCAGCAGTATGATGGCAATGAGGGGCAGGTACATATCCCCGCATGATTGGGAGGAGACGCCCATCACTGGTTTAGCACCTATGTATGGGTTGATCTCCCGACATTCGAGCGAGATTTCTTGAATCGATTCGATTACATCCACCCGGAACAAACTCTTTTTATGATTAAAGATCGAGTTCAAAAACCCCTCGAGTCTGTCACCGAGTATCGGAAGCGATTCTTTCGAATGCTCGTAAAAACGGAACGAGGCGAACAGGTAGGCAGAGATTTGTTCATCGACAGACTTCGCAGCCGAACGATGAGGGCGAAAGTGCGAAAACAGTTTTCCCCCATTAATCACACGATGCAACAGATCATGGCAGCTCCGGAGGAAATGAAACAAAAATTTGCTGCGAGTTTCCTAGAAGGAGAAGACTGTCCTAGGGAAGGAGACTCGTCCGAACTAGCGAGAGCTAAACCTGAGTTGGCTGCACTAGAGAACAAATTTGAAAACATGGGGTTTGTGTTTGGCCCCGTCACCTATCTAGAACAGATTAGTCCCAAACGACCGGTCCCGAGTGTGATTACAAGCGTGCCCATTCCTGTAATGACGGCACCCCCGCCCCCGGTCGAAAGTGCCCCACAACCGAATGAGTCTTCCGCCTTATTAGAACTAACCAAGACACTGGTCATTCTGATCCAGGAAAACAAAAAGGAACAGCTGGAACACAACGCTCGAATAGAGGCAATGATGAGGTCGATGCGTCCAATAGCGGTGTGTGTCGCCCCAATTCAACAAGGATTGGCTCCGGCACCGCCTCCCGCAGGGATCCCTGACAACTTGAATGTCTGTTACACATGTCATCAACCAGGACACATAGCCCGGGATTGTCCCCATGGACCCCCACAACCACAAGTCGGGGCTGCGCCGGTAGCAGCAGCTCCGATTGCTAACGGGTCTGGACGTGTAGGAGCATTAATGGAAGAAATGGAAGGAGGAGGAAGCACGTTAGCTTCAATGGAGGAAGCCGCTGAGCTTTTTCCATTGGATCAGTATGTAACGCTTGGTTACCCGGGGCTTGGGATGATTGGAACAATTAGACCGGCGCCAAAACAAAGAGAAGTGGCGGAGTGGCGACCTTCTCCAGGGGAAATGGAGATGGGAGGACCCACCTTCGTCACGGGAGAGATCGATGTTTTCAACATCGTTCGAACCTTGGATCATCGGATTCCTCTTCCAATCGGTCATCTACTCTCTATATCCGAACAAGCCAATGAACGGATGCTGCAACATTGCAAGGCGAATCGGAAACGATTCGCCCTTGCCCGAACAGCGAACACAAAAGCAAAAAATCCCACGGCAGATGAAAATGCAGCGGGTACTTCAGACCCGATACGATTAGGATTAATCCCAAAATATGATCATTTCCTAAGGATTAAACCAATCCCATGGAAATCCGCAGAGTGCGATATCGAGGTATGGGAAATTCCGTACAATGTTATCATTGATTCCGGGGCTGCTGTCCTAGCTATCTCATTACGGGTAGTTGAAAGGGCAGGAAAAAAAAACGATCTAATCATGCTTACGGAAAAAGAACAGCTCGTCTCAGCAGATGAAGAGAAGATTAAAACAGTAGGACGGATGACCAATGTTGCTTTTCGGTTAGGGAAAGTACATGCTTTGGGAGATGTCATAGTTTTAGACGTAAGTACGTACGACGTCCTTTTTGGCCTTCCAGCCCTGGTGGCCTTGCGAGCCAATCTACACTTCGAGAGGCGATCGATTGTCCTCTGAAACACAGGAGGAAAACCCTATGTTGTACCTATGAGACTAACTCTTCGCACCACGGCTAACGTAACCCCGCGAGTTTCTCCAATAATGGCAGAAACTCTTCGCGTGATTACCTGGGATAGCTCTGCTGACGGGGAGCACTCTCCGAAAGACGCAGACAACAGTGACGAGGACGATCCAATAATTCAAGAAATGGTGTAACAACGTATTTATTACCCTGTGCAAAGAACGAATACGAAATCACTAAGCCTGACTGAGCAAAGTCTACAAAGAACGCAAACCATGATTATGGGCGAACCCCTCGTACAGATTTCAAGGATGGTCGATTCTTTGGAACCCCCTCGAACCCTGTACGAAGGTATCTCCCTTTTACTCGCACGATATAACGACAAGAGACACTTCTGCGACATCACGCATCTCCCACAATCTCTTTCGACACCTGCAAAAGAGATACGATTATTACGGTTAGGGGCGCAGACCAATTCTTTGGCACCCCCTAAGCACCTCGAAACTGGGCTCGGAATCAAAATCGCAACGAAACCCGTGTCATGGCAGGACATTCGAGACGAGGTAACACTAGAGGAACATGTGGCCATTCGAGAGAAGGATGCACAGATGATGGCTACGGTATTCTCCTGGCGGTCGGATAATTCGTTTATTTCCGCACCCCCGCCTGAAAACACTAAGCGGGTAAGTACGAAACATATCGATGTGCGGATATGGGATGAGTTGTATGAGTTACACGTGCCCCAATACGTACCTGATGAGATCCATCACCTAATCGCGGAAATTCTAAAAGAATACAAAGGAGCGATTAGTATGTCAGACGCAGACATTGGACTGTCGTTAGTCATACAGCACGAGATTCAAACTGGAAATCATCCCCCGATTCACCGTAAATCCTACAGATACTCCCTGGTAGAACGGAAAACGGCCCTTGAGCGGATTCGAGAATTCGAAGCTAATGGTTGGATCGAACCCGCCACTGGGCCATGGTCGTTCCCGGTAGTATTAGTGCCGAAAAAAAATGGATCGATTCGCATATGCATTGATTATCGCAAGTTGAATGACATCACGATTAAAGATGTGTACCCCCTTCCCAGAATTGATGATTTGCTGGATGCGATTGGATGTGCTAATTATTTTAGTAAATTTGATATTCGTCACGACTTCCATCACATTCTCGTTAAGGAGGAAGATCAGTCGAAAACGACTTTCGTACTATTTGAAGGCACGTGGCAGTGGGTTCGGTGTCCAATGGGGATTTGCAACGCGCCTGCCACGTTTCAGCAGGCTATGAACGTGACATTTCAGAACTTCGTCAACAAGACACGGCTAACCAACGGGATGATTAACTTTTGCGTCATTGTGTACATGGACGACATCCTGGTCTACTCGGAAACCTATCACGGGCATGCGCAGCACATCGAGTGGATGCTGGGAGTTTTGAGAGATGCTGGGTTTAAAATCGCGCTTGAGAAGAGCGAGTTTTTCCTTTCAGAAATCTCGTTCTTGGGTTACGTGGTGACACGTGGAGGACTGCGACCAGACTCGAGAAAAGTCGCGGCGGTGAAAGACGCCCCTATCCCCACGTTATTGACGCAGGTTCGAGCTTTCCTGGGGTTGGCGTCGTACTATCGTCGCTTCATCAAGGGCTTCGCCGCAATTGCGCGACCTCTAACGAACTTACTACGGAAGGACCAGCCCCTCAACTGGGATGCAGAGTGCGAACAGGCCTTCGCCACTCTCAAGGACGCCATGGCTATAACACCTATCCGGCTAGACCCTACGAAGCAGTTCATTCTCAATTTCTCATCACGGACTGGCAGCCGGAGCCAATCTCCGCTATTCTAGCGCAGAAGGGGAACAACGGCCGAGAACACGTCATCGAGTACGCATCACGCACAGTGCCAGACGATCGGAGGAACGATTCGGCCCCACAGGGCGAATGCTACGCATTGGTCTGGGGGATTCAACACTTCCATCCGTATTTGTACGGACAAAAGTTCCTCCTTGTAACCGATCACGAGCCATTATTGGCTCTCAAGAAGCTCACTAATTACACGGGTATGATTGGACGGTGGGCGGTGCGTCTGCAAGAATACGACTTCGACATCATCCATCGAAAAACGGAGAGGCATGGCAACGCGGACGGGTTGACACGTCTGCATTGCCCCGCTAAGGTACCTAAGGGTGAAGAAATCATTCCGTGGAAGGAACCGAAGTCGGCAAATGGACCCAAGTACGGACAATTGGCAGTCCTTCGACGTGGCAAGAAGCAGCCAATTGGCAATGGGTGACGGAGGTAATATTGCGACTCCCCTCTCCCCTCTCATCCTCATCTCTTCTCTCCCTACCCGACAAATTTTGTTATGTTTGCGAAGCAATCTCGCACGTCTACTCGGTCCCTATATGTCCTAGTGGGGAAGGGTATGCAGAATGGATAGATTGCCAACAGTGTGTCGCACAAGCCCACGACTCGTGCATCCAGTACAGAAATGGCAATAAACCCTGGTTGTGTCCCTTGTGTCGGGTTGATAAGATCCCGACCGAGGCTCGATTTCTCGATGCCATATCAGAAGGGTTGGAGAAAACCCGAAAGTTTAGAAGGGCCGAAGTTTGGACAGACATTGCCCTAATTGCCACCTTAGTAGGTAACCCCCTCCAGGACTTCACCAAGGAAGACAGGAGGAGGGCCAACGAAAGGGCTAGGGACTATCGCTGGAATGCGGGCCGGTTAGAAAAACGAAAGACGGACGGTAGTGGGATTTGGATGGTGGTACCACACCCGTTCATGAGGTATGACTGGGTTAAGACAGCGCACGAAAAAACTGCAGTCCATTTTGCTGTCCGAATTATGGAAGCGGCCATCGACAAAAATGAATGGTATTGGTCCAATATTCGACGATGATGTGAAATTCATCGTCGCGAACTGTCAGATCTGCGCCGCTGACAAGGCGCCGATTCAGCCGCCGAGATTGATAGTGCCGACGGCAGTTGAACGGCCTTTTTAAAGGGTTAGCATGAATACTACCGATATTGTGGTGCCCCCTGGACCTAATAGCTGTGAGTATTCAATCCTACTAGTATTTGTGGACCATTTCTCAAAATGGATTGAGGCATATCCGTGTCGTACAAGACAGGTGGCTAAAATTGCATGATACGTCAACCGGTTTTTAGGGATGCACCAAGACATAGAGGAAATCCTGACCGACAATGGGGTAGAATTCAGAGGGGTCGTACATGGCGTCGTCATTCGGAACACTGCACCCCACATGTCACAATCTAACGGCCTGGTAGAAAACACAAATCGTGTGATAAAGACAGCGTTGCGACGAAACATCGCGGCACGGGATCCGAGGCCCTGGCCCGATATCGTAGATCACATCTTGGCGGTCCATCGGGGAACGCCTCACGAATCGACGGCCCTTAGCCCCTTTCAATTACGAACCAATAGCGTAGCTTGTGTCTCGATACCGAGCCTCCCCGATGAATCCTCGTTGAACCGACGGCCCACAAGAGCCACGGTTTGGGACAAGGCCAAGCGGCACATGGAGTTGATGACGCGGTCCCTTCCCCGATTAGCCCGAAAGCGCCAGAAAATGACTGAGTTGGCCCACGGCCGACAGATCCGTAGCTACGAGGCCCGAAATGGGAACGCAGGACCACAACCTCAGTATAAATTAGGGGACCTGGTGCAGGTGAGGAAATGTGCTCGCCAAGGGAAGATAGCGCCACGATTCTTCGGGCGATTTCGTGTCATCGAACTCGGACCGAACGAGGTGAACACCGTGCGCCTCGTGCCGGAGGTCTCGGGAAGCCGATCGGCTCGATCGATCGTCCACCACGTGTCCTATATACGTCCTCTTCCTTCCTCTCCATCTCCAGCTGTGTCTGCTTCCTCCTTCGTTACAGAGGAGGACGACGACTCTTTATCGCTTTCATCCCCTCCTGCATCTCTCGCCCCTTCTCATACCCCGTCCTTATCACCATCGCCATGAGTTTTCTCACTGAGCGGGCTCTCGGCGATCACATGTTGGCGCCACGTGACGACATTTCGGCAATTTGGCAAGTTCATCACCCGGGATTCAGTCCGGATCTTCTACGGCTCGCGCAGTTCTTCTGTACCACGGGAGTGTACGTGGCGGCGGAGTTCCGATTCACGGGCCATCGTCAAGCGATCGTGTTGGCAGAGGCGTTGGCTGTTCGATGACTGTCAGCACCGGGAGTTAGCCACGTGTCTACCGTCGTCATCTTCGGCGGTGATGTTAGCGCGATCAGCCCTCTACGACACACGGCCATCCGGACGTCGCTAAGGGAGTGGGGCCAGCAGTTGGCAGAAGAGTGGAATCAGTGGCTTACGCGCCGCGACGACAATCTTGTCCCCACGGACGACATCGCCGTCGGCGGGATCTAAACGTCTCGGCACGAGCCGGCGGTGGTGCTCCCGGAGCTCGTTCCCTTCCAACGTCCTCAATGAACCGCTCCCAGCTCTTTACCTTCGCTCTCCCATCTCTCTTCTCTACCTTCTGGCAGTTTGACCTTTGCCCCCGTCTCTCCTTTCGTCTGGAACCACTCGCTGTCCCCCTCCTCGATCAAAGACAATGGGAACTGTGGTGCGAGCACTTTGTCGATCTTTCGGTGTGTCTGGTCGGGGTGCAGCTGACATGGACGAGGGACATAGACCGAATACGTGGAGCTATTGATCATCCAAGCTTGGAGGACGGAGGTGGAAGGAGACCTTCTCGGATTTCTATCCGGATCGGTGCGGCCCGACCATCGACAACTTATCGTACAGGAACTCACGATTCCCCTTGTGCAGCTGGTCGACGATCTCCCTCTCGATATCGTTTCGCAGTGCGATGAAAGTCCGGTCCCGCGCGTCCTTTCACGAACTCTGACGCCCTACCTAGAGTGGTCGGTCTGCCTCGAGGAGCAAGGAGATAACAATAACCCGTCGTCGCAACGAGAGTACCTGGACCCGCGGAGGATAATCGACCTCGCCTTCTTTCAGCCTCGAACGGCCTCCGAAGACGAAGGGCTAACGCTAGAAGAGGAAGAAGAAGAGGGCGTAAAGGAAGGCGACGAGGAGGAAGAGGAGGAATCTGAGTGGGAGACTTTGGGTGAAGAGGCGGAATGCACAGAGACTAAGGAGGAGGATCCCGAGGCGGCGCGAAGGAGAGAGGAGATCGCAGTCGAGAAGCAGCCGTTGGAGTTCGCAAGTGGGGTGGATCTGGCGATCCCGAATGACCCAGCCAAGGATCCCGAGCCGCCCAAGAACGACGATGGAAACCTTGCTGCTGAGATTTCGAGCGCAGCGGCCCGACGGCGACGAAGCCGATCCCCCTCCCCCTCCCCCTCCGCCCGTCCACCAATTCGATCTCGTGCCGATGCGGGGCATCGAGCTTCGTCCCCGGTCCTTATCCCGTCGTCCCCTTGACCACCTCACCCTCCGCCAGACCACTACCCGCATCACCTTCCCCTGCAATCCCTTCCCAATCGACACCTTCCGCTTCTTCTACGCCACCCGTCTTCCTGTCATGGTTCATCTCCATCCCTCAAACCGGTGTGCCACCCCTGTCTTCTGTCTCCACGCCCTTCTCTTCAGTGCCGCGTGGCGAGGCCACAACATCATTGAGGTTTACTGCATCATCACGGGGACTATCCCCGCATGCGAAAACCACGATCACTTTCGTACGACACTCTTTCGAACTTTCACCACCCTCTAGCCCGACTATCTCGCATCCCTTCCTCATAGTGGTCATCGATTCCCTCGCTTCCACCGGATCATCAGATATCAGGAGCTTCTGGTGACAGCCGCGGGGTTGGAACGCTTTCTACCCCCACTCCCAACTAACCCACCCCCTCGCCATGCCCCCATGTATCGTCTTCCCTTTCCCCTTCCCTTAGGTCATTGATGCACGGTTGACTGGCACATGCCACGACGATGGCACGCACGATCCCTTCCTTGGACAGAAGAGAGCCCATCCTGGGGAAATTGTAGGATAGAGCCACGTGTGCCACCCTGGATGACGTCCACACTCTTATCGAATGGTAAGTGGCAACAAAGAAGGCTCCGTGTGTCGATCGATTAGAGAGATCGACACGTGTCATGATTCAAGCAAGCGGGAGCTTGCTTAAGATTGGAACCCCCTGGGCGTCACATATGTGATGAACCAATTTCTGTTCCTCGCAATTATCTGCGCGATGACAATGAGGGGTCCTGAGATGGGAAGGATGGGCCAATTACGGGAGATCGGGATCGAAGGGAAATTGCATCGGTGTCCTCGTTTCTTCGTCTTTTTGAGTCGCTTCTTTTCGAATGGCTGGGTTCAGGGCCGGGCAAGTCCCGAGATGGCCGATTGAGTAGTTGTTGTCGGCGCGATTAATAATGTTTGACATCGCTTCTTTCTTGTTCTGTTGTCGGGTTTAAATGCGGAGGTCACGCGGGAAGTTTTTGCTCCTTTTTGAATTTCTTTTTCGAATTTGTCGGGCCTTGACGGCTCTCGGAATATCGGACTTTCTTTTCGGAAATTGCGCTTTATTGAAGTTCTTCTTGCATTAGTTAGGAATTTAGGAATTTAGGAATTTGGGATTTCTTTTGCCGCGCGTTGCTTTTACGTGGGCGGTTATTTTTGCGGCTGCAACTAAACTCTGATTAGTCAGTGCCCTTAATCTTGTGTGTAACTGTAATTTTTGGGCCGGCGCCATTGTAACTGTATCCTTCTTCTTGAGCTTCGTCTTTCCCGCCCTCTCTTTTCCTTTTGCTGTGTTTAGTCGGCCCGCGGGCTGCGCGATCGGATCAATGTGTGGAGAGTGGCTACGTCCCCCACGCCGCGGTTTGGCCATGCAAAACGTAGGCAATCCCTTCCCTTCTCCCTTCCTAAGTCCTTGCAATTCCGTGTTCTTCACGCATGCATGCACGCTATAAATTCCGGCTGCACGATTGGATAGCTCTCTTAACCAGCTGTTGGAAGCTCGGGGTAGCGCGATCAGTGAGGGTCGGCTCACGAGCGAAGTAAGAGGTGAGTTGAAGTGGGAGTCGGGCGACTCGATGAGCTGGTGCCGAATGCGCGGGGTTGATGAGTGGGGCTACGACGGACTGTAGCGCGCGGGCGAACCTGACAAGTGCAGGAGGACTAAGCGGGGTGACAACTTCGTGGGTTGGTGCGTGACGACAGACCGTCCGCATCGGAGAGAGAGAGAGGAAGAGAGAGCTGAGGTTGATGGACGTGGATTTGCAATTTTCTTTGTCTTGTCTCCCTCTTTACTTCTGTAAATAAATTTTGATCTCGGCTCAGGGCGACTCGCCCGTTTTCTTTTGTTCTCGGAATCTTTGCCTCGGCTTCAGCCCACACTTGTTCTGTGATTGATCTTGATCTCAACTATTATGTGTTTTGTCGAATGAATGAATGAACGAATGATATATTTGTCGTTTTTCCTGTCTGGTCATCGTCTTTGCCTGCCATTTTGATGCGCCCTTAAGCATAGTAGAAATTCTGACGTCTGATGTATCATGACACCCTGCATGCTCGGGAATGATTGCTTGCGGGATCACTGAGTGATTAGATGATTGGGTAGTTGTCCATGCCACGTGGCGATTTTGCATGACGAGTTAAACTCTCACCTTTTTCGGGTACAAGCGAATACCCCGCGGGGATACGTGTAAGCGCGATCTGATCTGCGCAGCCTACACGTATCCACGCGCAGCAATTCGCGATCAGTAACGAACTTGGCACCTCCGGTATCGGATAGGCAAAAATTTTCCTTCTTTCACGCACCTATGCTGATAGGAGTTTCCGATACCATATCGGGAAATCCCCGTGTCAGTTAGATGCGTGCGGAAGACTTCCATTATGCCGCCATGACAAAATGACGTACACATGGGACTCATAATACTTCGAACCATGGGTAAGAGAATATCTTAGGCAAAGACGCCCAAAATTTCCCTGCCTAACCGAGAACCGATTGTGCCCCAGAGAGTTTCGCTGTGCCGTAACCAGCGATCCAAGGTGTCCCGATTACCCAACTACGTATAACACGCAATACTTCATATCCCCCGGCTTTGTCGTTGTCACTACCAACTTCCCTCCCTTCCGTCTTCTCCTCCCGTATCACCAGCTCACGGTGGTACCGTGGAATTCCATCGCCCCGTATTGGCCCCTCACGCCGTGCAGAAACTGCAGACGACGCAGCCACCACCGAACCCCGGGAACTACGGAGCCTAACCATAACACGCAGCGACAGACGCCACGTGTCTGCACCCGAAGGTCCGAGTCATAGGAATCGCAACCCTCGTGAACGGGCCTCTCCCGAACCGCCGTCATCAAAACAGATGGATCAGAAGGCCCTTGATGCCCCGCGCATGCCATCTGCCTTATGACTACACGACGTCAACCGCCATCAGACCGGAAGCAACCCGCCCCTTAGCCCTATTGCACTTATGCCCCTGAACCCTGGCCACAGGAGATCTCAGTTCCGACCTGGGACTCCACCCCCACTTTCCCCAAAAATCCTTGGCACACCCCCTTCTCGCACTTCCAGGCCCACATCCCACTCCGATCTGGAAGTCGCGCCGGGCGTGAGGTTGGGCGTCACATTGGGGCCTCGTGGGGGTGAGGACGGGGTGGGAGGGCAGGCTCCACAAAGGTCTGGGAGCGTTGGGCAGATATTGGGTTGACTGTTGCTATTGTCGCCTTTGACAGACCTGGCAGTGGTTTGAAGAAGCAGTTCGGGTGGCGGAAGGACCATTGATCATCCTGTGCCGCCCAGTTTTTCCATATAAGTGTTCGGGTCTCCTGGACCAACCATTAATGGTTAACGGGGACCCCCTGTTTTCAGGTCCAACCATCAATGGTTAATGGGGACCCCCTATTTTCAGGTCCTGCCCAACAGGCTCAAAACTGAAAATAGGGCTTGGCGGTCAATTGTTTTTGTGTTTTTGATTTTTTACTTTTTTTTCCCTGATAAATTTCTGAAAATTCAGGTCTTCGTCAACCTTCTCTTGGCTTAAAGTCCGTTGTCTCTTCCAGAAGTCGACGTTTTATCGATGCACTGTCATCTTTCATCTCCCGCTCATCCTCCAAATCTAACTGCTGGCACTCCAATCATGCAATCATGCTCCTGTCTCTTATACACATCTAGATGTGTATAAGAGACAGCTCCTGGACCAACCATTAATGGTTAACGGGGACCCCCTGTTTTCAGGTCCAACCATCAATGGTTAATGGGGACCCCCTATTTTCAGGTCCTGCCCAACAGGCTCAAAACTGAAAATAGGGCTTGGCGGTCAATTGTTTTTGTGTTTTTGATTTTTTACTTTTTTTTCCCTGATAAATTTCTGAAAATTCAGGTCTTCGTCAACCTTCTCTTGGCTTAAAGTCCGTTGTCTCTTCCAGAAGTCGACGTTTTATCGATGCACTGTCATCTTTCATCTCCCGCTCATCCTCCAAATCTAACTGCTGGCACTCCAATCATGCAATCATGCTCCGTATCTATAACCAGCGGCCAAAGCCCCTGATCAGGTGGTAATTCTGGTCTAAAAGATGCACAGATCCTGCCCTTTGGCCGGCCTAACATCTCTCCCCTTCCTTCAGCAGTCAATCGAGGATTGCCAACTCAGGCCGGCCAAGATTGGGCTATGGCAGGTGCATAGCAGTGCCCCCTTGAAGCGGTGTCCCCCTCAATGCCCACACGCTCTAATACCACTCCGCCTCTGCCACTCCTAACGGCAAGCTCTGGCTAGGGCAGCTAGTTTGCAGCTGCTCCTGTGCAATCCCCCGCTGCCTGCACCTCCTGAGGATGACACGCCAGCACAGCGGACGTCAATGGCAAAACTTCAAGTGTGGCGCTGTGCTAACGCAGCAACCGCGGTGGCGCGCGCTGCGCTAACGCACCGCGGCAGGGTCACATCGAAATTCTTTACCAAATGTAAAATAAAAATAAAAATGATTTATTATTATTATTTTTAATACTTTTTTATTTTTTTTGACCATTCGGATAGCTTAGCAGAAAAACAAACGAAGAAAAACTGAGCCAGGAATTGGCTGTCGCGGCATGTGTGTGACATGTGCAACAGTTGTGTAGGAGCATCCCAGTAACTGGCCAATGCACTCTACTCCTGTAGGTGGCTTGGGGACCTACTTGAAGTGGAAATGGGGGGCCAGGCTTGCGCGGATTCTTCATTTGTGGCCGTAGACGCAAGATCAATTTGCAGGATTGAAACCATAACCCTTGCCTAAGTGGGGGGACCTGGCCCCAGTATCACATTTTTCTGGACACATGTACATTTGGGTACACAGCATGCACGTCGCTGCCAAGGAAGTCCATCTACATACATACTGAAGGAAATCTAGCATTTGATGGAGGGCCTGGAAAAAAAAAAACCCTATGACAACGTCAGTTTTGATTTGCAGTCAGAACCAGTTTTCCAGTCTTGTCACGGCAATGTTGCCGGCGGAGTTTTAAATGCAGTCTAGTCACGGAGGTTTCCGCAGAGCTGTCTCAGTGGGCGTGTTGTTCAGGGGCTTCTAGGCCCTGGCCCTTGACTTGCCCTGCAAAAAAGTTTTGCTGTTTGATAACTTTGATCTGATATATTAAAAGGCTGAAATTTTCCCTGCGGCAAGTGAAGAGAGCTAGGGCCGAGAAGGCCCTGGAAAAGAGGCCAAGAGGGTCAGCCAGTATTACCAGCTAAACCTGGCCGTGATTTGGGCCACGCTCAGGCCTGCACTGGCCCCTCGTGCATGGGCCACAGCCAAGATGTCTCGGCCAAGCGTTGGGAGAGGGACTCACCGCTGGGGC